AGTATCAGAATGGATAATTAACAATAAACTGGTCTTAAATACAGTGAGGGAAAAAAGTATTTGATCCCCTGCTGATTTTGTACGTTTGCCCACTGACAAAGAAATTATCAGTCTATAATTTTAATGGTAGGTTTATTTGAACAGTGAGAGACAGAATAACAACAAAAGAATCCAGAAAAACGCATGTCAAAAATGTTATAAATTGATTTGCATTTTAATGAGGGAAATAAGTATTTGACCCCCTCTCAATCAGAAAGATTTCTGGCTCCCAGGTGTCTTTTATACAGGTAACGAGCTGAGATTAGGAGCACACTCTTAAAGGGAGTGCTCCTAATCTCAGCTTGTTACCTGTATAAAAGACACCTGTCCACAGAAGTAATCAATCAATCAGATTCCAAACTCTCCACCATGGCCAAGACCAAAGAGCTCTCCAAGGATGTCAGGAACAAGATTGTAGACCTACACAAGGCTGGAATGGGCTACAAGACCATCGCCAAGCAGCTTGTTGAGAAGGTGACAACAGTTGGTGTGATTATTCGCAAATGGAATAAACACAAAAGAACTGTCAATCTCCCTCGGCCTGGGGCTCCATGCAAGATCTCACCTCGTGGAGTTGCAATGAACATGAGAACGGTGAGGAATCAGCCCAGAACTACACGGGAGGATCTTGTAAATGATCTTAAGGCAGCTGGGACCATAGTCACCAAGAAAACAATTGGTAACACACTACGCCGTGAAGGACTGAAATCCTGCAGCGGCCGCAAGGTCCCCCTGCTCAAGAAAGCACATATACAGGGCTGTCTGAAGTTTGCCAATGAACATCTGAATGATTCAGAGGAGAACTGGGTGAAAGTGTTGTGGTCAGATGAGACCAAAATTGAGCTCTTTGGCATCAACTCAACTCGCCGTGTTTGGAGGAGGACGAATGCTGCCTATGACCCCAAGAACACCATCCCCACCGTCAAACATGGAGGTGGAAACATTATGCTTTGGGGGTGTTTTTCTGCTAAGGGGACAGGACAACTTCACCGCATCAAAGGGACGATGAACGGGGCCATGTACCGTCAAATCTTGGGTGAGAACCTCCTTCCCTCAGCCAGGGCATTGAAAATGGGTCGTGGATGGGTATTCCAGCATGACAATGACCCAAAACACACAGCCAAGGCAATAAAGGAGTGGCTCATGAAGAAGTACATTAAGGTCCTGGAGTGGCCTAGCCAGTCTCCAGACCTTAATCCCATAGAAAATCTGTGGAGGGAGCTGAAGGTTCGAGTTGACAAACATCAGCCTCGAAACCTTAATGACTTGGAGAAGATCTGCAAAGAGGAGTGGGACAAAATCCCTCCTGAGATGTGTGCAAACCTTGTGGCCAACTACAAGAAACATCTGACCTCTGTGATTGCCAACAAGGGTTTTGCCACCAAGTACTAAGTCATGTTTTGCAGAGGGGTCAAATACTTATTTCCCTCATTAAAATGCAAATCAATTTATAACATTTTTGACATGCGTTTTTCTGGATTTTTTTGTTGTTATTCTGTCTCTCACTGTTCAAATAAACCTACCATTAAAATTATAGACTGATCATTTCTTTGTCAGTGGGCAAACGTACAAAATCAGCAGGGGATCAAATACTTTTTTCCCCTCACTGTACATCTAAAACTAAAAGAATTGTATTTTGTTCAAACATTCTCTAAGACTTCAACCTCAGCTGGAGTTTAGTATAAAGGGTGTGGCCATGGAGCAAGTTGAGGAAGCTAAACTCCTAGGTATAACATTGGATGGTCAATTACCATGGTCAAGTCATATTGACAAAGTTGTTTTGAAGATGGGGAGGGGTATGTCTGTTATAAAAAATATGTTCTGTGTTTTTGACACAAATCAACTGTACTAGTTGTTCAGGCTCTGGTCTTGTCCCATCTTGATTACTGTCCGGTAATATGGTCAAGTGCAGCAAAGAAAGACCTAGCAAAGCTGCAGCAGGCTCAAAACAGAGCGGCTCACCTTGCCCTTAGCTGCACATACAGAACTAACAACAACAACATGCAATGCCAGTCTTTCCTGGTTGATGGTTGACGAGAGATTAACTGCTTCTCTTCTAGTTTTTATGAGAAGTATTACTGTAAGGAAAATTCCAGATTGTCTGCATAATCAATTAACATTCAGCTCATACACCCATACATACCCCACAAGACATGCCACCAGTGGTCTCTTCACAGCCCCGAAGTCCAAAACTAACTCACGGCAACGCACAGTATTATACAGAGCCATGATCGCACAGAACTCCCTTCCATCTACAATTACTCAGGCAAACAGCAAAATTAACTTACACAAATTATTAAACAACCTTTCATGGAACGGCGAAGACTGTGAGGGGACACGCACACATTTTTTATATTGTTTGTACTACTACTATTATTATTATTTTATTTTTTGTATTGTTTGTATATGGTTGTATTTTAAATTTGTGTGACTGTCCTTGTCTATCAGTGTTTTGTTACCCCAGATAGAATAGCTGCTGCTTTGGCTAAAGCTAATGGAGATCTGAATAAATCAATAACACGTTTACAACCCATTTTACCCCCATCTTAATGTATTATACCTGTTGGCTTTAAGTTAAGTGTTACATCAAGTTCCTTTCATTCAACAATATTTCAGTGTTAAAGTTTGAAAGAATTCACATGCCGGTCATAGAAGAAGAAATGTATGTCTCAAGAACTTCTCTACTGCAATAAATTATGATTTTGTAAGTTTGTTTGAGCTATCCTGAGTGAGAACTACAACAAAAAGAAAAAACTGTACTGCAGTACAGTGGCTATAGAAAGTACACACCCAAATTACACACTTTTCACATTTGTTGCCTTACAGCCTGGAATTTAGATCAGTTCCTTATCATACATTTCCCAATGATTCTCACAGTGGGGTGTATACTGTCTATAGGGACAGTATCGTCTATTTTATGTGAACAAAGTGCTTTTACAAATATACTTTTAAAAAATATAAAACGCAACATGTAAAGTGTTGGTCCCATGTTTCATGAGCTGAAATAAAAGATCACAGAAATTTTCCACACGGACAAAAAGCGAATTTCTCTCAGATTTTGTGCACAAATCTGTTTACATCCCTGTTAGTGAGCATTTCTCCTTTGCTAAGATAATCTATCCACCGGACAGGTGTGGCATATCAAGAAGTTGATTAAACAGCATGACAATTACACAGCCGCACTTTGTGCTGGGGACAATAAAAGGCCACTCTAAAATGTGCAGTTTTGTCACAGATTGGCATGCTGCCTGCAGGAATGTCCACCAGAGCTGTTGCCAGATAATTGAATGTTCATTTCTCTACCATAAACCGCCTCCAACATCATTTTACAGAATTTGGCAGTACGTCCAACCGGCCTAAAAACCGCAGACCACGTGTAACCACAGCAGCTCAGGACCTCCACATCCGGCTTTCTCACCTGCGGGATCGTCTGAGATTAGCCACCCGGACAGCTGATAAAACTGTGGGTTTGTACAACCAAAGAATTTCTGCACAAACTGTCAGAAACCATCTCAGGGAAGCTCATCTGTGTGCTCGTCGTCCTGACCTGACAGCAGTTCGGCGTCGTAACCGACTTCAGTGGGCAAATCCTCACCTTCGATGGCGACTGGCACACTGGAGATGTGTGCTCTTCACGGATGAATCCCGGTTTCAACTGTACTGGGCAGATGGCAGACAGCATGTATAGCGTCATGTGGTTGAGCGGTTTGCTGATGTCAACATTGTGAACAGAGTGCTCCATGGTGGCGGTGGGGTTATGTTATGGGCAGGCATATGCTACGGACAACGAACACAATTGCTTTTTATCGATGGCAATTTGAATGCACAGATATATCCTGAGGCCCATTGTCGTGCCATTCATCCGCTGCCATTACCTCATGTTTCAGCATGATAATGCACAGTTCTTCCATGGCCTGCATTCTTCCCAAACATGTCACCCATTGAGCATGTTTGGAATGCTCTGGATTGACGTGTACGACAGCGTGTTCCAGTTCCCGCCAATATCCAGCAACTTCACACAGCCATTGAAGAGGAGTGACATAACATTCCACATGCCACAATCAACAGCCTGATCAACTCACACCAGATACTGACAGGTTTTCTGATTCACGCCCCTACTTTTTTTTTCTTCAAGGTATCTGTGAGCAACAGATGCATATCTGTATTACCAGTCCTGTGAAATCCATAGATTAGGGCCTAATTAATTTTTTTAAATTGAATGATTTCCTTATATGAACTATAACTCAGTAAAATCTTTGACACTGTTGCATGTTGCGTTTATATTTTTGTTCAGTGTAGCTACATGTTTATTAAGAATAAACGTTAAATAAATTACAATAACATGAAAAACAAACTCTTAATGTACCGGGTCCGGTAGTTATTTCAAATCAAAGTGCACTGCACTTTACTTTTAAAGTTAATTTACGCTCGAGTCGACATCCACTGCGTTTACCGTGATCTCAATGCACTTTTCATTTAATCCTGGCCACAGCATAGCTAGATCTAGAGCAGCAGTGTGCAACACGGCTCCTCAAAGGCCAAATTGACCTTATCCCTGCCTTCTCTGGACTGTTTATGGCGCTATTTCTATGGCATTATTAGGCCAGTGTTACATAGCCCTTATGACAGAGGGTTGAAGTTAAATATTACCCCTGGATCATATTTATTAGGGTACGCAACAACAAAAAACTTTTGCAACGGAAATCAAAAATGACCATTTCTCATTGGACAAGAACGGGTTTTCCCTTCCGCAGTTTCACTTCATTTTCAACCATTTTCTCCCTACTTAACACAACCCTGGGTGGTATTCACTAGGCACCAAACAGAAGAACATGGACTGAAGCAAGGAACCTGGCCTTATCCATTAAGAAACACCCATTTTTCCGTAGCAAAACGTGTAAAAGCATTTTCATGTGCCCTAATGAACCCAACCCAGGTGAGGTCAAGTATTTTACATCGCCTTAGTCGTTGAGCAAGAGCAGCAATTGGGAGTCATCAGGGAAGAGCCTTGGTGTGTTGCTCTGAGCAGAAGACCAGCGTGGTCCCGCAGGGCTCGACGAGGGTAGGGGGCAAAGGTCATCTTTCACCTTCACAGGGGGCAGCTTGTTGTCCCTCAGGCCAACCATCCTAGTCAGGGTCTGGGACCGGGAGAGGGGACACATACATAGCATTATGGCAGTGTTTTCCAGACCAGTACTGGAATCAACCCAGTCCCAACTACTCCACTTATTTGTTAAAATCCAGAACAAGCACACCTGATTATAGACTACTAGCCTAATGATCAGTAAGCCCTTCATGAGTTGCATCAGTTGTGCTAGTGTTAAATGAAAAAAAGGCTCTTTAAATAATACAGAATGTCCCAGGGACCAGCGAGCTATGGACGCAAATGAACACTTGGGAACTGACTAAATCAGTGTTACCAAAACCATCTCAGGTCCTGGCCAGCATCAAACAGTGTAAAAAGCCTCTTGTGGGCAGTCTCCCCCTGTGGCTCACCTGTCTAAGGTGCTGTACATAGAGTGCCTCAGGTTCCTGAGGGTTCTTCTGTGGAACAGGAATGTGCCACCTCTGTAACTCGGCCAACATCTCGGCCACATCGAACAGAACGGCTGGATCCGCGTGACTCCGGTTGATCAGCTCCACTAGACACTCTTTATAGTGTAAGCTAGGGAATCGAATTGAATCAAATGTATTTATAAAAACCCTTTTTACATCAGCAGTTGTCACAAAGTGCTTTACAGTAAACCAAGCCTAGACCCTGCAGAGTAAGTAGAAGCAGAAGCACAGTGGCCAGTAAAAAGTTCCTAGAAGGAAGAAACTTGGGTGTCTTACGCGCAGTAGCCGCTGTACTCTGGAAGAGTGGGTCGACCACAAGGCCCGTCTCTACCCATCTCTCTGTGCTCCAGGACTGCACACACACCTGACACATGGGAATAGAAGTGTTTCAAAAACAAATGCTTCTGTCTGCTTCTGATTGAAGCTTGTTTCACGTCATTTGTTTGTAACATTTTATATTTATTATGTAGTATTCACAGTTAAATGTGGCTGCTGCTGTTAACTATTACCGGTAGATTCTAACATAATGATTGGTAAAGTACAACCTCTTTTGGCTTGTGCTTTACCTTGTGTGTTTGTCCCTGTAGAGCCCTCTTTGGATTTCACCATGCCAGCGAGGGACACTCTGTAAAGCTGGAAAAGGGTGTATTGAATGTTTAGTTCGGATACATGAAAAATTGCAATTCTCTTTCAGCACAAAGGTTAATGCTCAGTTTTCTCTATCTTTCGTCAGAGATTATTATGGTACATAGCATGATGGGTAAATATAGGTTGTGTAGAATTTACCTGAAGTAGCTTGTGTAGTCTGGGCACGTTCCAGTCCCTCAGGTAGTACAGGCAGTCCCTGGGGTGGTGGGCATGTAACCCCTTGGACCCGCACTCAGCCGAGAAGTCACACCCCTGAAGATCTCATTTATTAGAGGGAAAGTAAATTTTTTTGAAGTTTTACCTTATTTTACCTAGTATTGTTGTTTCATCCAGACTGTTTAAATAAATTAAAAAAATTGGTATGAATATGTATCTTACAGAGCGTGGCTTTAAGCATGTTATAGGATTGCATTTCCTAGCGCTCTACTACTGATTTTGACTAGTGTATCTGGGTTAAGACAAATGATAGACATATAAGATAAAATATTAAAATAATACAACTTTAAAAAATCTACTTTTGACTGAAATTCTCCTTTAAAATGTATGCTAAAGCATTAGCTCAGATTCAACTAGGAGACTTACCGCGCCTAATTTGAAGGGCCTGTTACAGCCGCCACAGAACTCGTGCTGGCATTGGGTGCATTTGAAATGGAGACACCCTCCCTTTGAGAGGTAGAACACAAACTTGCATTTTGGACATTCTGAAACGAGACAAATAATATATGCAGTTAAATATGGCTTACAGTGAAATGTCTTTCTCACCAAGACAGAAATTCAAAAATATTGCATGTGTGTCATCCAATAAAGATTTGGGGACATAAGATGTTTAATCTGAACTAAACATAAAAAATACTACATAACGCTGTTATAATCATAACACAAAAAGATGGCTTTAATATTGACAACTCAATTACACAGTCATGACACAAAATGTTATTCAGATAGGCTAACAGCTAGCAGACCTATACAACTGTGTGCATCATAAACCGAGGGTTCAAATAAACAAAATACTGAAAGTAGGAGTAGTATGTGTGTACCTATTTTATTCCTGCTGAGGAGATTCTCCAGTCTTGCGGTCTGGTACTCCGGGTTATTGTGGAGTTGCCACTCTCTGAACTTCTCACAGGAAAGACCCTGGTGTTGTGGAGCCCACTGGTGTACCGAAAAGTTGTTAAAAAGGTAGATACAAGGCTTTCCAACAATTTGAATGTAGCTTGAGTCTGGGTTTCACTACTATGTGAGTGAGTGTACATGAATACATTACTTACTGCATTCTTGCATTGGGAGCAGGTGCTCTTCCTACAACTAGGACAGTCCATCCTCAGCTGGTCAGCCTCATGTAGAAGGCCAAAGGAGCACTAGAACATTGCACACAAACTGACATTGATAAGCACCTGGATGATCAGGCCACTGTCTGAAGGAGCAACATAACACACATGTCTTATCTAGTGGGGTATTGAAGCTTAGATCGCAGGGTTTTGAATTGAAAGGGAGGGAAAGGGAGGGAACGAGGGGGAAAGAGAGAGACAAGGAGGAGAATGAGGTGGAGACAAAGAAAAAGAGAGAGCCGAAGAGACAAGCAGGAGAACCAGAAAGATGAGCGAGATGTTGTCTTACGTGGGCACACCAGCGGAAGTTGGGCATCTCCTGCAAGGCTCGGTCTCTCAGCTTCCTCTGGAACAACTCGTGAATCTGAGGATCTAGGTAGTGCCTGATCTGGCAAGAGACAACAATGTAGACAGGAGGGACGTTGAAAAACTGTAAATTCCTCTAGCCTTTCAGCACCAGTTTCCAGGTTAAGCCAACTCCTGGACTAAAAGGGATTTATGCTCTATGGCAGGGATATTCAACTGGGGCTCTGTGGCCTCCTAGGGGGAAAAAAATATTTGTATTTCAAAAGGTTTTATGAATATTGCTATACCTACAGTAGAAAAGAGGATAATATCTTCTTTCTAATGATGTCAACTTTATTTCTCAACTCCTAATATTGAGCAAATTACACTCATTGGAGACAATTACACTCACTGGAGTATATGACATAGGCTTTGTAAACGCATGGGGGAGCTGCTCTTAGCGAAAATTTGTTTGGAATTACCTTTCTAGCTAATAGGCTGTTAGAGTTTACACTTCCTCTTCCAATTATAATGTGGGGAGGTCAAAATAGTGAAACACTATCTACCAAATCTATTAATTTAAAAAATTTTGATTTACTTCTCCTTGACATTATAGTTCACCTGATGATTAAACATCAGACCCCTGCTCTATGGAGAAACTCCCTTGAATGTGCTTTTTAGTCCAGGTTTATCAGGGTCCGAGAAACCGGACCCGAGACTGGTGCGTCTCTCTCCACGAATGCGCTCTCTGACTCCTGCAAATCTGTGCGCACGCATTGTTTCATTGTGTGGATTGTTTGCCCTTTGTTAAATGTTTATCAATTCCCCACTATATATCAAATCTAGCACCAGTAGTAAATGTAGGCTACCGTCAATCATTGCCATGTCCCAGTAAACTAGAATGCTTGGTTACAGTAATTTCTGTTCAGTCATTAAACATATATTATTACATTCATACCGTTCTCATTTCTCAAAGTGGACTTTTGTTTGGAGAGCTCACAAACTATGCTACACCAATGAGGAAGAAGCTTGGTGTTATTTCATTGCATTAACCAGTTCTGTCAATTTCTTCATTTTCTTGTTTGTCTAGTTTCTCTGTCTTGTGTAATGTTGTGTGAACAGAAGTACAGTGGGGAAAAAAAGTATTTAGTCAGCCACCAATTGTGCAAGTTCTCCCACTTAAAAAGATGAGAGAGGTCTGTAATTTGCATCATAGGTACACGTCAACTATGACAGACAAATTGAAAAAAAAAAATCATGAAAATCACATTGTAGGATTTTTAATGAATTTATTTGCAAATTATGGTGGAAAATAAGTATTTGGTCACCTACAAACAAGCAAGATTTCTGGCTCTCACAGACCTGTAACTTCTTCTTTAAGAGGCTCCTCTGTCCTCCACTCGTTACCTGTATTAATGGCACCTGTTTGAACTTGTTATCAGTATAAAAGACACCTGTCCACAACCTCAAACAGTCACACTCCAAACTCCACTATGGCCAAGACCAAAGAGCTGTCAAAGGACACCAGAAACAAAATTGTAGACCTGCACCAGGCTGGGAAGACTGAATCTGCAATAGGTAAGCAGCTTGGTTTGAAGAAATCAACTGTGGGAGCAATTATTAGGAAATGGAAGACATACAAGACCACTGATAATCTCCCTCGATCTGGGGCTCCACGCAAGATCTCACCCCGTGGGGTCAAAATGATCACAAGAACGGTGAGCAAAAATCCCAGAACCACACAGGGGGATCTAGTGAATGACCTGCAGAGAGCTGGGACCAAAGTAACAAACTAAAATCCTGCAGTGCCAGACGTGTCCCCCTGCTTAAGCCAGTACATGTCCAGGCCCGTCTGAAGTTTGCTAGAGTGCATTTGGATGATCCAGAAGAGGATTGGGAGAATGTCATATGGTCAGATGAAACCAAAATAGAACTTTTTGGTAAAAACTCAACTCGTCGTGTTTGGAGGACAAAGAATGCTGAGTTGCATCCAAAGAACACCATACCTACTGTGAAGCATGGGGGTGGAAACATCATGCTTTGGGGCTGTTTTTCTGCAAAGGGACCAGGACGACTGATCCGTGTAAAGGAAAGAATGAATGGGGCCATGTATCGTGAGATTTAGAGTGAAAACCTCCTTCCATCAGCAAGGGCATTGAAGATGAAACGTGGCTGGGTCTTTCAGCATGACAATGATCCCAAACACACCGCCCGGGCAACGAAGGAGTGCCTTCGTAAGAAGCATTTCAAGGTCCTGGAGTGGCTTAGCCAGTCTCCAGATCTCAACCCCATAGAAAATCTTTGGAGGGAGTTGAAAGTCCGTGTTGCCCAGCGACAGCCCCAAAACGTCACTGCTCTAGAGGAGATCTGCATGGAGGAATGGGCCAAAATACCAGCAACAGTGTGTGAAAACCTTGTGAAGACTTACAGAAAACGTTTGACCTGTGTCATTGCCAACAAAGGGTATATAACAAAGTATTGAGAAACTTTGTTATTGAACAAATACTTATTTTCCACCATAATTTGCAAATAAATTCATTAAAAATCCTACAATGTGATTTTCTTTTCTCATTTGTCTGTCATAGTTGACTTGTACCTATGATGAAAATTACAGGCCTCTCTCATCTTTTTAAGTGGGAGAACTTGCACAATTGGTGGCTGACTAAATACTTTTTTCCCCCCACTGTATCTGGTCTGCGCACCAGGATAGGTGTGGCTTATTTAGGTGCCTGTTTGGGTTATGTTCTCGTTCAGTTTGATTTCAGTTAGTCAATGGGGAGGCTGCATCTGAGCCTAGTAGACCCCACTTGTGCTTTATAGAAGGGGTTAAGGAACTTTATTTCTCAACTCCTAATATTGAGCAAATTACACTCATTGGAGACAATTACACTCACTGGAGTATATGACATAGGCTTTGTAAAAGCAGCCGTGAATATGCTAGCAGTGCAACAAGTGCTGCTGGTAAGCTTTCTTGAATTGGACATACATTTTCGCCAACAAATGGCTAACCTTTGTTTAACCAGCGAAACAGCTGCTCTTAGCGAAAATTTGTTTGGAATTACCTTTCTAGCTAATAGGCTGTTAGAGTTTACACTTCCTCTTCCAATTATAATGTGGGGCGGTCAAAATAGTGAAACACTATCTACCAAATCTATTAATTTAAAAAATGTTGATTTACTTCTCCTTGACATTATAGTTCACCTGATGATTAAACATCAGACCCCTGCTCTATGGAGAAACTCCCTTGAATGTGCTTTTTAGTCCAGGTTTATCAGGGTCCGAGAAACCGGACCTGAGACTGGTGCGTCTCTCTCCACGAATGCGCTCACTGACTCCTGCAAATCTGTGCGCACGCATTGTTTCATTGTGTGGATTGTTTGCCCTTTGGTAAATGTTTATCAATTCCCCACTATATATCAAATCTAGCACCAGTAGTAAATGTAGGCTACCGTCAATCATTGCCATGTCCCAGTAAACTAGAATGCTTGGTTACAGTAATTTCTGTTCAGTCATTAAAAATATATTATTACATTCATACCGTTCTCATTTCTCAAAGTGGACTTTTGTTTGGAGAGCTCACAAACTATCCTACACCAATGAGGAAGAAGCTTGGTGTTATTTCATTGCATTAACCAGTTCTGTCAATTTCTTCATTTTCTTGTTTGTCTAGTTTCTCTGTCTTGTGTAATGTTGTGTGAACAGAAGTATCTGGTCTGCGCACCAGGATAGGTATGGCTTATTTAGGTGCCTGTTTGGGTTATGTTCTCGTTCAGTTTGATTTCAGTTAGTCAATGGGGAGGCTGCATCTGAGCCTAGTAGACCCCACCTGTGCTTTTCTAGTTAAGACAGGTTTCGCATGATAGGAGGCTTTTTCTTTTTGAATACTGACATTTAGAAGTCAGAAGATTGTAAATACACTGCTCAAAAAAATTAAGGGAACACTAAAATAACACATCCTAGATCTGAATGAATGAAATAATCTTATTAAATACTTTTTTCTTTACATAGTTGAATGTGCTGACAACAAAATCACACAAAAATTATCAATGGAAATCAAATGTATCAACCCATGGAGGTCTGGATTTGGAGTCACCCTCAAAATTAAAGTGGAAAACCACACTACAGGCTGATCCAACTTTGATGTAATGTCCTTAAAACAAGTCAAAATGAGGCTCAGTAGTGTGTGTGGCCTCCACGTGCCTGTATGACCTCCCAACAACGCCTGGGCATGCTCCTGATGAGGTGGCGGATGTTCTCCTGAGGGATCTCCTCCCAGACCTGGACTAAAGCATCCGCCAAGTCCTGGACAGTCTGTGGTGCAACGTGGCGTTGGTGGATGGAGCGAGACATGATGTCCCAGATGTGCTCAATTGGATTCAGGTCTGGGGAACGGGCGGGCCAGTCCATAGCATCAATGCCTTCCTCTTGCAGGAACTGCTGACACACTCCAGCCACATGAGGTCTAGCATTGTCTTGCATTAGGAGGAACCCAGGGCCAACCGCACCAGCATATGGTCTCACAAGGGGTCTGAGGATCTCATCTCGGTACCTAATGGCAGTCAGGCTACCTCTGGCGAGCACATGGTGGGCTGTGCAGCCCCCCAAAGAAATGCCACCCCACACCATGACTGACCCACCGCCAAACCGGTCATGCTGGAGGATGTTGCAGGCAGCAGAACGTTCTCCACGGCGTCTCCAGACTCTGTCACGTCTGTCACGTGCTCAGTGTGAACCTGCTTTCATCTGTGAAGAGTACAGGTCGCCAGTGGCGAATTTGCCAATCTTGGTGTTCTCTGGCAAATGCCAAACGTCCTGCACGGTGTTGGGCTGTAAGCACAACCCCCAATCTGTGGACGTCGGGCCCTCATACCACCCTCATGGAGTCTGTTTCTGACCGTTTGAGCAGACACATGCACATTTGTGGCCTGCTGGAGGTCATTTTGCAGGGCTCTGGCAGTGCTCCTCCTACTCCTCCTTGCACAAAGGCGGAGGTAGCAGTCCTGCTGCTGGGTTGTTGCCTTCCTACGGCCTCCTCCACGTTTCCTGATGTACTGGCCTGTCTCCTGGTAGCGCCTCCATGCTCTGGACACTACGCTGACAGACACAGCAAACCTTCTTGCCACAGCTCGCATTGATGTGCCATCCTGGATGAGCTGCACTACCTGAGCCACTTGTGTGGGTTGTAGACTCCGTCTCATGCTACCACTAGAGTGAAAGCACCGCCAGCATTCAAAAGTGACCAAAACATCAGCCAGGAAGCATAGGAACTGAGAAGTGGTCTGTGGTCACCACCTGCAAAACCAGTCATTTATTGGGGGTGTCTTGCTAATTGCCTATAATTTCCACCTGTTGTCTATTCCATTTGCACAACAGCATGTGACATTTATTGTCAATCAGTGTTGCTTCCTAAGTGGACAGTTTGATTTCACAGAAGTGTGATTGACTTGGAGTTACATTGTGTTGTTTAAGTGTTCCCTTTATTTTTTTGAGCAGTCTATATCAACTTGTCAATGTATCATGTCATCACCAGCGCGGTGTAAATAAAACCAACACCCATTTGCACCTCTACCTGCCTGCCTCCTTACGACTGCTACAAGGTCCTTATTTTACAGAAGATTTGCAGTAGACATAGGAGATGGCAGCTAGCTATTTGGAGCCAGTTTAACGTTGCTCTAAATGACATCCCCATCCACTAACGAAACTGAATGTTAATGGACTTTCTAACCAAACATTTCAATTGAAACGGAGCTAGATAGAGCAGTCCGCCCTGTCTATACAGCGGTAGGGTCTGAACACTACATCGAAACAATGTCTACTACCACCAGGAAGCTCCTTGCGCCTGACCTGTGTGTCCAGAAGGCTGAAGTAGTCCAAGGCCTCCTCCACGCCTCCCTGGCTCTGACGCACGTCGGGCTGGCCACACAGGGGACACACCACATGGACGATGCTCTTCTCCTTGATGGCCTGGGAGAAGTAGGCCTTGAAGCAGCTCTCGCAGAAGGCACATGGGCAGTGGGTCATAGAGATGATCTGTGGAGGGACACGGAGTGAGGAAGGGAGGGAGAGAGAGAGAGAGAAAGATCGAGAGGGGGAGGTGGAGCACGATAGAGACATTTTACCCTTCTAAACCTCACAGTGTGCTAAAACCTTGTTGATCCCACACAAACAATGGCGGAATGTCTTGCAAACTTGCCTTTTAAAGAATGTGCATGAGTGGGTAGATATCAAGTAAACAGCTGTGCAATCGTGAGCTGCCATATTCAAATAAAGCCTGCAGGAGACTAGGGCAACCCTGCTTTAACCTGCCCAACAGTAGTGGACCAGTGACTACTTCAAAGAAGGAAGGTAAGGAAGGATCCATGTTGACAGTATTTGAATGTGGTCCCAGTCTCTCACCCACCTTGCTGAAGGACACCTGCTCGCGGCAGATGGGGCATTCATGGGACAGGTACTTGAGGGCCGAGGGAAGATCCCGGCACGACTGCACCGCCTCCTCCACATCGGCCTGGCTGAAGCTCCGCCCCTCGAGTGAAAGCAGGCTATGGAAGATGGCCGCCTTGTCGCCGGAGACGCCGGGTGGCACCGCAATCTGACGAAAGAGAATTGCATAGATATGAAGAGAGTAGAGTAGTACTTTAGCGTCTATTGTTGAAACGGAAGTTGGTCTTTTTGCAGTCTTTATAAAAAATCATGGAACACACACACTTATACAACACGCACACAAACCCTGGAGCACACACGGACATAGACAGACACATACACACAGAAGAACAAAAACTTGGTTGGGGGTTAAGCCCAGTCTTACCTGAGCACAGTTAAACCTCTTGAGCTGTATAAGGCAAGGCCGCTCATTCACAGTAACAATTCGGTCTGCTTGTAAGAGCACCTGCTCTGCATCTGAAAGCAGATCAAAAATAACAATAGAAAAACAATTTATCATTAGTCTATTTTCTTCCGTTTGGTGCTAATGAAAATGACCCTGATGTACTGTATATACTCTCCCATACCTAGGTTTTGTAAAATGTTGACAATGTGATGAGAAAAATCATGTGCGTGGGAATACTTTACATTTTCTCTACAATGTACATTTTCAGGCTGTAACTCCATGGGAGTGTATGCGTGTTAACCCTTCACATCTACAGTATATGCTCTCCCTTACCCCCAGCCCCTTTTTCACTCACCTCTGGGACTGCGGAAGGTGACCAGGGCCTGGTCAGGATGGGTCGGGGGGTAAGGGTAGGTCACGTCCAGCACCTCTCCTCCACCGTTGCTCCTGCGCTGGAAGTAGAGGGTGAGCTTGTTCTTCACACGGCTGGGTGACTGGTCCGATGGCAGCCGGCTCACCAGGATACGATGCTGGTTGTCCACCAGGGGCGTGACTGCAGGGGGGATCGGGGGGTGGTCACCGTCACCTCTATCGTCTTCATTGCCCTGCGTCTGTCCTGAGGAGCGAGAGTAGATGGGCAGTGTTATGGTGTGGGGTGCTTTGCTGGTGACACTGTCTGTGATTTATTTAGAATTCAAGGCACACTTAACCAGCATGGCTACCACAGCATTCTGCAGCGATACGCCTTCCCATTTGGTTTGGGCTTAGTTAGACTATCATTTGTTTTTCAACAGGACAATGACCCAACACACCTCCGGGCTGTGTAAGGGCTATTTTACCAAGAAGGAGAGTGATGGAGTGCTGCATCAGATGACCTGGCCTCCACAATCCCACGACCTCAACCCAATTGAGATGGTTTGGGATGAGTCGGATAGCAGAGTAAAGGAAAAGCAGCCAACAAGTGCTCAGCATATGTGGGAACTCCTTCAAGACTGCTGGAAAAGCTTTCCAGGTGAAGCTGGTTGAGAGAATGCCAAGAGTGTGCAAAACTGTCATCAAGGCAAAGGGTGGCTATTTGAAGAATCTCAAATACAATATATATTTTGATTTGTTTAGCACTTTTTTGGTTCCTACATGATTCCATATGTGTTATTTCATAGTTTTGATGTCTTCACTATTATTCTACAATGTAGAAAATAGTAAAAGTAAATAAAAACCCTTGAATGAGTAAGTGTGTCCAAACTTTTGACTGGTACTATAATATAATAATAATAAGCCATTTAGCAGACGCTTTTATCCAAAGCGACTTACAGTCATGCGTGCATACATTTTTTTTTTTGTGCATGGGGTCCCGGGATCGAACCCACTACCTTGGCGTTACAAGCGCCGTGCTCTACCAGCTGAGCTGTAGGACTTAAAAACGTTATGCAGGGCTTGACATTAAGCTTTTAAAATTGTTCTCCAAAAAACACAAACAAAAAGAGGTCTGGAACACCATGGGCCAAATAGGTGAATGAAATGTAGGCTACCATCTGCCGCTAAGCATTGTCAAGTCTCAAAATACAGTACGGCCCATTTAAGACATAAAAAAAAAAGCTATTTCGGCCTACCTAACTCGCTTTTTAAAGTTTTGCTATAACTTGGCTAATAACTCACTAACTAACAAAGATCTCAAACAACGTGCACACACGGCTCTGCGCTTTGATCTCAAAAGCGCATCTACTCGCGACCGCGGGTGACAAAGGCTAATCGTGCCTGTCAATGCAATAGAATTCTACTCTGATGCACTCTACCTACAACAAAATTACAGACTAAATATTGGATAGTTTAATTTGCTTTAGGCTTGTTGCTGATATTTTTTTTGATTCGATCACAAATCCCACAGAGGGAAAAGTTGATTTGTTGAAAAAACTAACAAAAATGGGCAAACTCCAGTGAAGTAAATTTTCGTGTATCTGAGCGGGTTTCGTGTATCTGACCGGGGATTTTTTCTGCGCGGAACTCGCAGAAGCTGCACGGCTGCACACGCGCACCTTAGAGGGAATATTGAATGTAGGTTCATTAGAACACTCTGGTGTAGCTGAATACAATATTACAATACAAAATTCAATAGTCCTACTTTAATTCATTTGGTTTCTTTAGAAAAGGGGGGGGGGGGGGGGGGTTAAACCTAAATTCATACACATTTTAAACCCTTCAGGGATTCAGTTTTCCACTCACCTCTTTCTTTAGTGCCAAGCTGGTACACATTGACAATATTTTCCAACTGCAGGCTCTTGAATAGGTTGTTCATGTCCTCGGAACTAACAGGAGTGTTATTTGGCGCTGTGGTATGAGAAAATGAAATGGCAGATAATCAAAGCTCAAATATCAAAGCTCAAAATACATTTCATTATGTATCATAATGCTACCAATACCATACTTTAAATACACACTGTACATACAAATACGGCATGCTCACATTCAATGCTGCACTATGCAGCATTTTGTTAGTTTAGATATCCCCATAGCTTTACAAAAATACTACTTGGAAATACCAGATGTAGCTTAGTACTACTTTCCTACCTTATTAGGCTGGTTAAGACTATTCCTGGACTAAGAAGAACTTTCAATGGAGAATCTACACTGAACATGCTTTATAGTGCAGGACTAGGCCTAATCTGTGCCCGGGAAACCAGACCCAAATGTTTATATAGTGGGTCCTACCTGAGGCTGTAGTGATGAAGGGGTTGGTGGAGGAGTAGGGAAACTGGACTCCCCCTGGCACTCCAAAGTTGATCCCCATATCCAGCAGCTCCTCTGTGTAGGACCGTTTCACACCAGTCCCAGACTCTCTGAGAGGCCCCGATTGGCTGGACTTTAAACTCTTGGGCGGAGCTAGGAGAAGTTAGTGAGGAAATGAAAGCAAAGGTTGACAATTTACTACAAGTTATTATAAATTAGGGTGAGGGAGGAGCAGTGAGGAGGAGTGGGATGAAAGGAGAAGTGGGTTGGCCGTTTAGCTATTGATTGTGTACAGGGCTTAAAATTAACACCTGCGGGTAGATTTTGGCATTGGCGGGTAAGATGTCTATTTCACCAGCCACATTAGTGGGTGGTCAGGGCTCCACAGTGTGAGCATTTCACTCGCAGTTGTGAATAAAAATTGTTAAGTATGATCATATTTACAGTACCAGTTTGGACACACCTACTTATTCCAGGGTTTTTCTTTATTTTTACTATTTTCTACATTGTAGAATAATAGTGAAGACATCAAAACTATGAAATAACACATATGGAATCATGTAGTAACCAAAACAGTGTTAAACAAATCAAAATATATTTTAATATTTGAGATTCTTCAAATAGCCACCCTTTGCCTTGATGACAGCTTTGCACACTCTAGGCATTCTCTCAACCAGCTTCATGAGGTAGTCACCTGGAATGAATTTCAATTAACAGGTGTGCCTTCTTAAAAGTTAATTTGCGGAATTTCTTTCCTTCTTAATGCGTTTGAGCCAATCAGTTGTGTTGTGACAAGGTATACAGAAGATAGCCCTCTTTGGTAAAAGACCAAGTCCATTTTATGGCAAGAACAGCTCAAATAAGCAAAGAGAAACGACAGTCCTAATTACTTTAAGACATGAAGGTCAGTCAATATGGAACATTTCAAGAACTTTGAAAGTTTCTTCAAGTGCAGTCACAATAACCATCAAGAGCTATGATGAAATTGGCTCTCAAATCAAAATATATTTTGATTTGTTTAACACTTTTTTGGTTACTACATGATTCCATAGGTGTTATTTCATAGTTTTGATGTCTTCACTATTATTCTACAATGTAAAAAAATAGTACAAATAAAGAAAAACCCTTGAATGAGTAGGTGTGTCCAAACTTTTGACTGGTAGTGTATAGTAAAATAAATGCTGCAGTAGCTGTTTTCAAAGTATTTCTGCCGTTTTGTTTCATAGCACAAAAGAACTACGAATCCTATATAGCCTATTCCACCTCGCGCTGCAACACTGCCTGGCTGGAGGCTGTGCGCATGTGAAGAGCTGAGTGAAAGATTAATTTTTAGAAGCGCTGCGCACAGGCATAAAAGTTGGTCTAATTTACTTGAAACGAAAGTCTACTGAAGTCAGACTTTGTCCTTGTTTCTTGGTTATTTACATTGTTTTGTTCACAAGCTAGATTGTTTTTCTATGTTTGAGTTTCACCTGCTAGGGAAGAGAAGACAACGCCTCTACTAGTCAAACTCAATCCCACAATCACAAACAGGACTGGAGTTACGCTACCACGGTAACCTCCCGCCCTTAAAGGGGCAGGTGAACATTTTTTGTCTCATCTATGATGTTTTGGATAAAAGACTCAGGTCATAAAAAACGAATTCAAACAATATACCAAATTAGTTCTTACTAGTCATACAAGTATTGTTTTAGAAATATTACAAAGCATGCTCATCTGCTTTTTTTGTGTTTTGTTGGTGTAATTTTAACTGTAAAAATATATTTTGGCAGGTAAAAAAATATGAGTGGCTGGTAAAAAAATTGTTATCTACCTGCCACAGTGGCTGGTGGACCAAAACGTTAATTTTATGCCCTGATTGTGTAAATCCAGCTACATGCATCAACTGAATGATGAGAAAATTAAATGGTGCTTACCTTTTCCATTTATTTTAGATTGTGGCATATACAGTGGGGAGAACAAGTATTTGATACACTGCCGATTTTGCAGGTTTTCCTACTTACAAAGCATGTAGAGGTCTGTCATTTTTATCATAGGTACACTTCAACTGTGAGAGACGGAATCTAAAACAAAAATCCAGAAAATCACATTGTATGATTTTTAAGTAATTAATTTGCATTTTATTGCATGACATAAGTATTTGATCACCTACCAACCAGTAAGAATTCCGGCTCTCACAGACCTGTTAGTTTTTCTTTAAGAAGCCCTCCTGTTCTCCACTCAATACCTGTATTAACTGCACCTGTTTGAACTCGTTACCTGTATAAAAGACACCTGTCCACACACTCAATCAAACAGACTCCAACCTCTCCACAATGGCCAAGACCAGAGAGCTGTGTAAGGACATCAGGGATAAAATTGTAGACCTGCACAAGGCTGGGATGGGTTACAGGACAATAGGCAAGCAGCTTGGTGAGAAGGCAACAACTGTTGGCGCAATTATTAGAAAATGGAAGAAGTTCAAGATGACGGTCAATCACCCTCGGTCTGGGGCTCCATGCAAGATCTCACCTCATGGGGCATCAATGATCATGAGGAAGGTGAGGGATCAGCCCAGAACTACACGGCAGGACCTGGTCAATGACCTGAAGAGAGCTGGGACCACAGTCTCAAAGAAAACCATTAGTAACACACTACGCCGTCATGGATTAAAATCCTGCAGCGCACGCAAGGTCCCCCTGCTCAAGCCAGCGCATACCCAGGCCCGTCTGAAGTTTGCCAATGACCATCTGGATGATTCAGAGGAGGAATGGGAGAAGGTCATGTGGTCTGATGAGACAAAAATATAGCTTTTTGGTCTAAACTCCACTCACCGTGTTTGGAGGAAGAAGAAGGATGAGTACAACCCCAAGAACACCATCCCAACCGTCAAGCATGGAGGTGGAAACATCATTCTTTGGGGATGCTTTTCTGCAAAGGGGACAGGACGACTGCACCGTATTGAGGGAAGGATGGATGGGGCCATGTATTGCGAGATCTTGGCCAACAACCTCCTTTCCTCAGTAAGAGCATTGAAGATAGGTCGTGGCTGGGTCTTCCAGCATGACAACGACCCGAAACACACAGCCAGGGCAACTAAGGAGTGGCTCCGTAAGAAGCATTTCAAGGTCCTGGAGTGGCCTAGCCAGTCTCCAGACCTGAACCCATTAGAAAATATTTGGAGGGAGCTGAAAGTCTGTATTGCCCAGCGACAGCCCCGAAACCTGAAGGATCTGGAGAAGGTCTGTATGGAGGAGTGGGCCAAAATCCCTGCTGCAGTGTGTGCAAACCTGGTCAAGACCTACAGGAAACTTATGATCTCTGTAATTGCAAACAAAGGTTTCTGTACCAAATATTAAGTTCTGCATTTCTGATGTATCAAATACTTATGTCATGCAATAAAATGCAAATTAATTACTTAAAAATCATACAATGTGATTTTCTGGATTTTTGATTTTAGATTCCGTCTCTCACAGTTGAAGTGTACCTATGATAAAAATGACAGACCTCTACATGCTTTGTAAGTAGGAAAACCTGCAAAATCGGCAGTGTATCAAATACTTGTTATCCCCACTGTAGCTGGATCTACAAAACAGATGGCCAGGGACGTGGACTCATCTTGACATTAGACCACCTTTAAAAAGCAGGGAATGTTAGGGAATGCACTTCTAAGATACGGTACAGAAAATCGGAGAACACTCACCTATTTCTCTAGGTAGTGGTGTGGGGGACATTGAGGAGCGCCTGGCTCTCGGGGTAGAACTGCTTGGTTGAGGCCAGCTAAGAGGGAGACACAGAACAATACAAACTCAAAGCATGAAGGGTTACTACCAACTGAAAATGAAACAATATTAAAATGTAAAAATGTATACTGCATCTTGACCTTTCCTCATCCCCATTTCCCTTGACTGTACTGATCTTCAGAAATTGCGACAAATATGACTTCTTAATTATGTAAAGTATGTACACTATCGGTCAAACGTTTTAGAACACCTACTCATTAAAGGGTTTTTCTTAATCTTTTTACTATTTTCAACATTGTAGAATAATAGCGAAGACATCAAACTATGAAATGGCACATATGGAATCATGTAGTAACCAGAAAAGTGTTAAACAAATGAAAATATATTTTATATTCGAGATTCTACAAAGTAGCCACCCTTTGCCTTGCACTCTCAACCAGCTTCATGAGGTAGTCACCAAGAATGCATTTCAATTAACAGGTGTGTCTTCTTAAAAATCATTTGTGGAATTTCTTTCCTTCTTAATGCGTTTGAGCCAATCAGTTGTGTTGTGACAAGGTAGGAGGGGTATACAGAAGATAGCCCTATTTGGTAAAAGACCAAGTCCATATTATGGCAAGAACAGCTCAAATAAGCTGTGCAGTCACAAAACCCATCAAGCGCTATGATGAAACTGGCTCTAATGAGGACTGCCACAGGAATGGAAGACCCAGAGTTCCCTCTGTTGCAGAGGATAAGTTCATTCGAGTTACCAGCCTCAAGAATTGCAGCCCAAATAAATGCTTCACAGAGTTCAAGTAACAGACACATCTCAACATCAACTGTTCAGAGGAGACTGTGTGAATCAGGCCTTCATGGTCGAGTTGCTGGAAAGAAACCATTACTAAAGGACACCAATAAGAAGAAGAGACTTGCTTGGGCCAAGAAACACGAGCAATGGACATTAGACCGGTAAAAATGTGTCCTTTGGCCTGGAGTCCAAATTGGAGATTTTTGGTTCCAACCGCTGTGTCTTTATGAGACGCAATGTGGGTGAACGGATGTGTAGTTCCCACCGTAAAGCATGGAGGAGGAGGTGTTATGGTGTGGGGGTGCTTTGCTGGTGACACTGTCTGTGATTTATTTAGAATTCAAGGCACACTTAACCAGCATGGCTACCACAGCATTATGCAGCGATACGCCATCCCATCTGGTTTGGGCTTAGTGGGACTATCATTTGTTTTTCAACAGGACAATGACCCAAAACACACCTCCAGGCTGTGTAAGGGCTATTTGACCAAGAAGGAGAGTGATGGAGTGCTGCATCAGATGACCTGGCCTCCACAATCCCCCGACCTTAACCAAATTGAGATGGTTTGGGATGAGTCGGACCGCAGAGTGAAGGAAAAGCAGCCAACAAGTGCTCAGCATATGTGGGAACTCCTTCAAGATTGTTGGGAAAGCATTCCAGGTGAAGCTGGTTGAGAGAATGCCAAGAGTGTGCAAAGCTGTCATCAAGGCAAAGGGTGGCTATTTGAAGAATTTCAAATATAAAATATATTATTATTATATATTTGTTTAACACTTTTTTGGTTACTACATGATTCCATATGTGTTATTTCATAGTTTTGATGTCTTCACTATTATTCTACAATGTAAAAATAAAGAAAAACCCTTGAATGAGTAAGTGTTCTAAAACGTTTGACCGGTAGTGTATATGTCTATTATTTCAAGGAATGAGCACCCTTCTCAATTTACCTGCCAGGGTCCGAAGACTCTGCATGTGCACTGGAGTGTGCTGCAGTAGGTATCATCTGAGCTCTGATTGGGTGCATGGCAAAGAGGGGCGTTTCCTTTTGAAATGCAGACCTCATTTCTGAGACGAGCAATGACAGGTTGGCCAGCCCCTGCCAATCAAAAGGTAGACGCAGTTCCAACAAACTAGAAAAGTAGATTGATTATGATGGTGCTAAAGTACCATCCCTCTTCAATGCCACTCCACTCAACCCTTGCATGCTACACACACTGTCTCTCTCTCTCCATTCTATAACCACAACTCCAACTTTTCTCTTCTTCTAATAATAAAAAAAGACATCAACAAAACATTCACCAAGCACTATGAAAACCACAAAATCACGGTGTAGCATTGTTGTCGACTTACGCTCTTCCAGTTGGTGAGGCAGTCGAGGAGCACCTGCCCACTGGCCTCCACATATGGGCACCTGGGGTTGATCAACATGGAGATGGAGGGACACACGTAGCACTGCGGACGGCTCTGGGGGTGGGTCTCGTGGAGCCAGATGCACACAGGGATATTGTACGTGTTACCTGCTTGGAGGACAAATTATTTCTATGGGTTAATTCAATAAGAACTTACATAGGGAGTGGTGAAAATGTTATCAATGTGGCAAGGTACTAAACAAACTAGTTATTATTATAATTAGTAGTAGTAGTAGTAGTATGCTAGTGTGCTTACCGTCATGTGGAACTGGAATAGTACCAGACAAATAAACTAACTTCTTCTTTTCCTTATTGGGGAAACCTGTGGTTGAGAAAGAAATATCATGTTTGCATTCTGCATAATTTAAGGCAGACACAGGGCACTCAAGTTGTGAAACAATGGTCTGGTCCAGAAACAACCCTAGAGTGCAAAACAACAATCTGCCCATACATCTTTGCTTAGCACGAGAACCTATTTCAGCAAACCTTTCTAATCCACTTTGCTGGTGACCTAAGGTGTCATGACCACTACAAAAATAGTGACACCAACAACACACCTGACAGTGACACAGGATCGACATAGGCTAGGTTCAATAAAAGACAAGTGATTATACAGGTTTATAAGCTGTGAACTTACAGTAGAAGTCCACATACATACGCAGGTCTCCATTAGTCGCTGTAGCATTCTTGATATCACTGACAACCTCAACAGGGAAGCTGTATTTACACTGAAAATAATGAAAAGTGAGAGGGGGGAGGGGACATGTAATCAATATTGGCACACTAGATATTGTCTTTTCAGTGTGTAGTAGACAATAAAACAATGATGGATTCAATGCACTCTTGTCCAGTTATTTTAGACATCAAGAAGTATGTGGATTTTTGAGTTTGTTTACTGACTGCAGTGCTGTTTAGGCACTTCAAAGCTGAGCGTGGCATTTCAATTGTTGGTTAGCTAGCTAGCTACTTCACCCAAAGATGATCTATATATTCGCCTCTTCCCCTCTGCTTCACCCCACGTTGACAGTACTGAGTACTAGTGACAATAACATTGTAAACCATTTTTCAGAAGTCAGAACACTCAACAGGCAAAGCACAGCTGTAAAGCATTGGGAGTGGCTAACAAGCTGTTCCATGGCTTGAAAACCAGGCATTGCTCACAAGCTAGCTAGCCAAACTTTGTTATCAATGAAGGATAACTATCAAGCTAACAACGTTAGCTAGCAATGTCTGAAGAGTTGCACCTGTTCATTAGCTAGCTGGCAACTCATCAATTTAAACATGGTAGCTATTTTTTCAACTAGGCTAGTTACCTATTCCTGAAAGTGCAGCCTCAGATAAATTCATAGCTGGCTAACTAGCTAGCTAGCTAGTTAAATACCTTGTCACAGTAAGTAAAGCTAGTTAGCTAACGTTAGTAGTTAGCTCCCTAACTTTTGCTTAGCCCTACAATGTCGTCCTATGTAGTTTACGTCAGAGATATTAGAGTATCTTTGCTTACGTTAGTGTTATAGCATATATAGCTAATTACAGTAGCTAGCTACCAAGATAAGCCAGCTAGCATAGTTTTTGAATGTTGTTGTTTATTTTCTTACCTCGGTCAGTGTTTCATATTCAAGGTCTGCTGGGACCCTCGGCATCTTTAATAATGTAACCTTTAAATCTTAGAAAATGTGGAATTATGAATCAACAATCAAAACTAGCTATGACAACATCATCTGACACTCCCGACAGCCGCTTTCAAAACAACTAGGAACTCAGAACTGGGAAAAATCGATTTGAACTGTCATCCAACTCGGAATTCCAACTTCTTCTTCTTCTTCAATGAGGTTTAACGGCGGTTGGCATCCAATTTGTTGAATTACTGCCACCTACTAGACTGGAGTACAACTCCATTATATTTTGCTTGAAAAATAAAATAAAATAAAGAAATGCCCTACCATCTAACACTACACTCACAAATTCAAAATTATTATTAATAATTAACCCCACCCTTCTCCACTATATAAATATATTCATTCCTACCTCATGCCCTCAACCTGAAATGATGGGACATCACCACTTAACACTCCCTGTAACTATTCTGATGTCAAGTCTCGCACACCCAAATACCTCTCTGCAGCTGCCACCACAACCTCAATTACCTCTTACGTTCCATCCCTGCAGTACAATTAATAACCATTGCTATAAATGCTAAAAATCCGAACTTACTGAAAAATATATATCATTTGTTGACCTATCCATCTGTACTGGTACATATCTATTACTCTCACCACTCGGAGTTGCCAGTTCCGAGTTCCCATTTGTTTTGAACACGACATATGCCAGTTGCTTTTGAGTTTTGACCCATTACGTCATCGAGAATCACTCACTGCACGCGATCATAGAGAATGACAGAGGCCTCTAGTGGCCAAAAGGCAGTTTTAGCATGAGCAGCGCCATTGAGGGCTTCCACCAGTGTAAACACTCCAATAACTTTTAAACTGATTATGATAGAGACCAAGGTTTAGACCATTGGTTTTCTTAAAGGATTATCTACACAATTAACATATTATTTAAGCCATCGTTCAAACTATGCATTTTTGATTGGACCCTACAGTGTCACAAAGTCACTGACAAATGTCTTTGAAACATACAGATGTTATTATACTGAACAAAAATATGCAACAATTTCAAAGGTTTTAATGAGTTACAGTTCATAGAAGGAAATCAGTCAATTTAAATAAATTCATTAGGCCATACTCTATGGATTTCACATGACTGGGCAGGGGCGCAGCCATTGTTAGGCCTGGGAGGGCATAGGCCCACCCACTTGGGAGACAGGCACACCCACTGGGGAGCCAGGCCCAGCCAATCAGAATGAGTTTTCCCCCACAAAAGGGCTTTATTACAGACAGAAATACTCCTCAAACTGCACATTTTAGAGTGGCCTTTTATTGTCCCCAGCACTAGGTGCACCTGTGTATTGATCATGTTGTTTAATCAGCTTATTGATATGCCACACCTGTCAGGTGGATTATCTTGGCAAAGGAGAAATGCTCACTAACAGGGATGTAAACAAATTTGTGCACAACATTTGAGAGAAATACGCTTTTTGTGATTATGGAACATTTCTGGGATCTTTATTTCAGCTCTTGAAACATGGAATCAACAACTGACATGATGCATTTATAATTATGTTCAGTATAGCATCTTCAGAGGTAGCTAGCTAGCTTTAGCTTGGTACCTAGCGCTAGCACCAATGTAACCAGCCTGAAAATGACTAGAAACTGCAATCATGTTCAATATTCTTAGCAATGATTTAGGAATCCATGTGACTAAGTATTATTTAGGCAGCCACTTCAGTTCATGAACATAACTAGCTCTCAAAAACTCTAGGCGGCATTCTGCCTTCTCCCTATAGTTTTCAGCCATTAGCTTTGCTCACGACTGGCTCGTATGAACTACAGTCCCGACGTTGTGTTTTAATGTTTAGAAACATCAATAATCATCACTTTTCGAAACATATAGCCCTTATCTTTCATCAGAGAGAAAGAATCCTTCAAATAAATCAGTTTTGCACAGATCCATACAGCTATGGGTGCCTCCATCCAACAAAACTACACTTCTACTACATTTCCCGAGTTATGCTTACACACTGGTTTTCGGAGCACGCTAGACAGCTAGCACAAGTGGTCGCCTCTTGTCTTCTGTCAGTTTTCTGTAAACAAGCGCTGTAACATTGAGCTATGGCCGTTTGGGAACACTAACCCTAACCCTATCAAGGTGTGTATCAATTCAACCTTTACTTTAAAAAATGATTTCTCACTGATATAAAAGTTAAGGTGCTTCCAAAAACCGTACCACAAGCGATTGTTCAGATTGAGCGTCGGGGCTCTTAACAAAACTCCCCCGTACAGAAGACGCCTTCATTCAATGACTTACGGGTAATGTAATGGAACTGAGAGTCATGATCAAGGGCTAGGACATAACTAGCTAGATAACTAACTAAACAAGCTAGCCAGCTACCTAGCCCATGCCATACTCTTAAGGAGCCTAACATTACCGTTACTCCTTAAGGTCCAAGGACTTTATATGTTATTTTCAGAGGTAGACTGACTCTGGCAGCCAAATACACAGCCAAATACTCCATCCATCGAGCCAAATACTCCATTCATCAATTCTCAAGTGTGATACGGTTCATGAAACATAAAGCCCTTTATTTTCATATCACATCAAAATAATTTCACAAATGCAAAATACACACTTACTGTACATTGTTTTCACTGGCTTTATCACAGTTGCAACCGACAGTATATTTCAGTGACAACACGTTTCTGGCGGTGTGTTCGGAGAATGCTAGATAGCTAATTAGCACAGGTAGTCGCCTCTGTCTTCCATCTGTCTGTAAACATGTGCTGTAACATGGAGACCACTAACCCTAACCTTATAAAGGTGTGTATCAATTTAACATTTTGTTTTTAGACAATTATTTTTTCGCTGATATGAAAGATAAGGTCCTTACGCTTCTGAAACCGTACCACAGGCGATGATTGTTAATGTTGGGGCTCTTAACAAAACTCCCCCGCACAGAAGATGCCTTAGTCCAATGACTCTTATGTGTACTGTAATGGAACTGAGAGTCATGCTACCTAGCCCTGTTGCACCAAGATAACTTAATCTGGCTAGTATGGCTTGACCGGACCGGGTCCGACCATCAACCAAATACTAAAACTCTCTTATAAATTAGGGGTATTTTAGATGATGACATCTAGCTAGATAGTTAGTTAGCTAACTATAGCTACTGAAACAGATGATGTCGTTTTAGCTATGTTTTTGGGGATACATTGTTTGCATCAGCTAGCTAGCTTTTTTTCTGACTAGCACTGTCCCAGAGCTTGGAGAAGTGTGTGTCTGCCTCGTGAGGAAGCAGCAGGTGCGTGAGACAACTATACCAGCATCAAACTGGGTCAAGTGGACGGGGCTACATAAGGCAAATAGCATACCTATCTGTGAATTGCTGTGACATATGACATACAAGCAGGGTGTCATGTAAAAATCTTCCCAGCGTGAAATAGTTCCCAGTCGTTCTGATTGTTCTGGTTGTGACGTCATGCTGTAAAATTTCTCCCAGCGTGAAAATGTTCCCAGTTCAATAATTGCACACACATCTCTTTATGTGGATGGCTGAGCTTGTGCGGATGTTTCACACCCTCCATCAACCTCGAAAAACTGTTCTGTTGGCACGCGCATTTGCTTCACACATCTGCCAATCAATGGTGGCCAGGAGTATTGAGTCTGACCAGAAGCTTGTTGAGGCGTGAGGTCAGCACATGAATACCCAGACTCGCGCGTCGAAGTGCTGAGGATTGATGTGAGGAGAGATTTTTTGTGATTGCAAAGACTTGGGCGCTACGTTTTCGATTGACAGTGCATATATTTATTTGTTAGTTAATGAGTTAGCTAGTTATACAAACAAGTTAAAACTGCACACCTCTGAGAACAAGCCATCTCGACCAGTTTACAGCTTATAATGCTAGTTAGCTAGCTAAATCAAGGGCGAGGGGGTGTGAGAGAAACATCTGCACAAGCTCAGCCAGCCACACAGATGGGCGTACAATTATTGACTGGGAACATTTTCATGGTGTGACATTTTTTACAACATGACGTCACAATCACAACACAATCAGAACGATTTGGAACTATTTCACGCTGGGAAGATTTTTACATGACACAGGGCGGCGGTGTCTTGTTTTGCACACTTTGTACAAAATAATAAAATGCATTGCGACAGAATCTTTATAAAACATAGCTCTTTATTAGCTAGCTATAACTCGCATGTTCATGTGTCTCCGGCCATGATCAACTGAAGTGACCTCACGACCTGGTAGGTCTTAACCAATCATAGTGCAGTATGATATGATGGTAGAATGCAATCAATTACAATTCAGTATGTTGACACATGAATATTACAGGCGGTTCCAGGCATAAGCGACATAAGTGGTCGCTTAGGTCCCCCAGCTGCTAGGGCCCCCTTCGGAAAGTATTCAGACCCCTATACTTTTTCCACATTTTGTTACGTTACAGCCTTATTCTAAAATTAATGAAATGAAGAAAAATACTCAGCAATCTACACACAATACCCCATAATGACAAAGTGAAAACAGGTTTTTAGAAATGTTTGCAAATGTATTAAAAATAAAAAACAGAAATACCTTATTTACATAAGTATTTAGACCCTTTGCTATGAGGCTCGAAATTGAGCTCAGGTGCATCCTGTTTTCATGAAGCATCCTTGAACTTGATTGGAGTTCACCTGTAGTAAATTCAATTGATTGGACATGATTTGGAAAGGCACACACCTGTCTATATGAGGTCCCAGCAACGATCCCCATCCAACCTGACAGAGCTTGAGAGGATCTGCAGAGAAGAATGAGAGAAACTCCCCAAATGCAGGGGTGCCAAGCTTGTAGTGTCATACCAAAGAAGACTCGAGGCTGTAATCGCTGCCAAAGCTGTTTCAACAAAGTACTGAGTAAAGGGACTGAATACTTATGTAAATGTGATATTTCAGTTTTTTATTTTTAATACATTTGCAAAACTTTCTAAAAAGCTGTTTTTACTTTGTCATTATGAGGTATTGTGTAGGGGAAAAAAACAA